AGAGAGAAAAAAGAACATTCATCTAACAAAGGGGAAGGAGATCATTAAAGAATAGAAGGCGCGAGCGAATACATACATAAAAACAGATCAAACCAAGAGAATCAACTTATCTTTCAGTCGAGTTGATATTTTCACACAAAGTTCTGATTCGCCGAAGCGAGAGTTCTGATGCTAAAACATTTTGGCCGGCCGGCAATTTTCCTGGATTTCTTTTCTTTTCACAAGTGTTCGAGGGTCCACAGCATCTCGTACAGGCGTTTCGTTGGGTTGATCAGTTTCATAGCAGTCCTTTCACCCCTAGTCGACAGACTTTGCTGTCTTCTTCATCTCGGTGGGCAGTCTGACGATTTTTGCCCAGCGACGTTCAACTGCCGCTGGTCAGAGGGAAACTGAAAATCCTTTTTTTGATTTTTGCTGTCCCCAAAGACAGTCACGTGGGTTCCCTTCGTACTTGACCGGGTACGCAGGAGGATAGGGCGCAAATCACGCAGTGCTTGTGTGATGGCCAAAAGTTCAATACACGCTTAGTATGTTCTGATCACGTGAATCGCAGCAGGAGATGGTGCCTGGAATTCACTCATGGTCAGCTGCCTGATCTTGGAACCAGGTCATTCTCGCGTCGGGTCACTTCAAAGATCACAGGCTCTTGGCTTGTGGGTGGAAGAGTAGATAAAGAGGGAAAAGAATTTGTGAAGAGAAATGGAGGATATGGCTGATCAAAGAACATATATTCGCTCGCTAGTCGAAAGCATTGGATTAAATTTCAATTTTTATTTATTTATTTTTCTTTTATATCTAACTAATTTTCTCTTTATTTAAGATTTTACTTTGGGGTGCTTTTTAGCCTACCGTCTATGTGGTTAATGAAATCGGGGCTGCGTCACAATATATATATATATATATATATATATATATATATATATATATATATGTGTGTGTGTGTGTGTGTGTGTGTGTGTGTGTGTGTGTGTGTGTGTATGTATTGATTTGATAAGTAGATGTGAGTTGAACATGAAAAGAGTTTTTACCGAAAGTATGGAAATTATTGCGAAGAAAAGATTGAAGCATATGTCAGGCGAAATGCTTTATATTTTATTGTACATAAGAGATAAACACTTGTAATTATAGATTTATAGATTATGTGTACGAATATTAGCGTTTCGACTTAAATGGCCACATTCATATATCAGCAGTTCTTACCAGAGCTGTAGAATCAGTGAATCAGGGTTTGCTAAATTGAGCTTAATACTTTGGAAAATTCGGCGTTACTAAATTCTAAATTTTGTTACATTGCGATGTTTTGGGTTACTTTTAAAATAAACTGGGATGACTTAAATTACTGATGAGAAGTCAAAATTTAGTAGAGGTGATCTTTTAAATGAAATCCAATCGCTACTTGGTAGCTCAATCTGTAGGCCTCGATTTCAATGCCAAATGTAAGCGTCGTTTGAACTTACTCTTTTTACAATCGCTCTATTATATCAATAACATTTTTCTATTTCAATTCACAGAAGTACAAGTATTGAATATTCAATAATATTTCGAACTGTATCATTATCTTTGTTGTCTTTATTGCAACGTTTCAACCGTTTAATTCAGCTATTAAGCACTTCTTAGATGTACGCAGTATCTAATAAAATTCGGATACAGTGGTATATATTGTTTTAAACTTTTTTGTTGTTGTTATGTGAGAGATCTTTCCCAGTGACTTGAACTCGCAAATCCTTTCTTCCAATTTATTCTTTAGCGTCACATTGCTCATTTTTTTGGCAGGTATTCTCTGACACAGTTTGAAACAGGCAGTGAAGTTAACAGCAAGAACCAGTTTTCAGACATTTGTTAAAGGGAGAATATTATGTATTTATTGAACACAATAATTAGCTTACAAAAGTCAATACTTCTCGGTTTAAGACGATTGTTGAAATTAACTTTTACTATTATTAATTAATGTAGCATGCATAAATAAATATCGTAATATTCATTTGTGCATGCTACATCAATTAATAAAGAAATTATTTCAATTATGATCATCTTTAACTTGAATCGGACTTGTCTTTTAGAGTATCAGTGTCCTTTTATCATCTCCCTCTCCGCTTTCAGCTATCAACCAATAGAAAATAACATTGGCAGTTGAAAACATTCGGAAAGCGTTTTTATAGTTTATACTGAAATATTGACTTTCATAGTGATTTCTAATCAACTTTTACTTGAAGTTAACTTTTACTATTATTTATAATTTTCATAAACGCATGTGCATCACTACACATTCGTAACAAGCATTAATTTTACATTCACTGATTATTTCAATGTTTCTAATACAAAATACGAATATTACGATGCAACATTGATTCAGATAATATGTTAATTTAATTATTTTTAAATTGTTTAATTCTGACAGTAGAAAAACGTTGGTTTATTTAAACAGGAAAGTTATTAATTGTGCAATGTCGCAGCTATCATTTTTTTAAAACCATAAGCGAGAAAAATAATATTTGCTAATATTTTACATTTATCGGAGGAAATTGAGACTGGAGTCGTGAATTTTCAACAAAATAAAGTTCTGAAAAGAATAAACGATTAATGGAAATAGACGAAATTTACGACGCTGACTGATAAGCATAATACTGACAATAAGGAAAAGACATTCTCTTCCTGCTTTTCGTGGACGATTCAAAAGAGGAAAACATCATTGGTTTCTTGCTAGCTCCTCTACTCTTCATCGATTTAAACAGTGTTTCAAAGGTCTTTTTAGTAGAAAAAATTATAAAATGTTAACACAACCAAGAGAAAAAAGAAATAATTTTTTTTTTTAGAAATTACTTTTACTTCGAGAGTAACTTTGTATGAGAAGTTCTCAGCCTAAATCATTTTACAACATCTTACCAGATAACCAAACATCAGAATTTTGATGGAATGTTTTCTGTAATATGTCCGATAATTTTCAGCACCCTACGTATATTCTTGAACCATTGAAAAGTGAAATAGTACCACAAATGGAATTTTTACACTGATTTGTGTATGTGTGCTTTGCTAATACGTAACACTGCCCATCATTCTAATTTTGGTGAAAATATCTAAAAATATAAATGCAAAAATAAGAAAATGAAATAAAATAAGCATCCAGCAAGGATATATTATCTTGCGACACAATAGCCACCCCGCTTCTTAATGACTGACTTGGAACTCCCAAGAAGTTGACGGTGAATGCTTATCTTTACTGAATCGCATTAGCAAAAGATAAGTAACATAGATAAAGCAAGTATGCACAAAAGAATAAAAGAATTAAAAAAACAGGAAGGGTTTGCCCATTTTATCCATTGTATAAAATCAAAAGAGAGAACACTGATAATAGAAAAAGAAAAAAAAATACTCCAAAAATGGAGATAATGCGTCAAATAATTATTTCACGGTGAGAGAGAGAGAGAGAGAGAGAGAGAGAGAGAGAGAGAGAGAGAGAGAGAGAGAATACAAAAGAATATGAAAGCAGAAATATTAAAGCCTAAAATAAAATCAGCACTAAACAAGATAAACAGGAACAAAGCAGCAAAACCAGATGGGATCATAATAGAAATTCTACCAGTTTTACACGCTTTCGGCATCGAAAAGACCACAGAACTAATAAATTAAATATACGAAATTAGTGACACACAGGAAAACCTTCATAGATCCATCTTCGTAAAGTTGCCTAAGAAACTAGGTGTAAAATGAATGTGAGCTCCATCGGACAATTAGCTTAATAAGACACATAACCCTAAGTTAATGATCCGAATTTTGATGAATAGTGTACGAAGGTTAACTATACCGGAAACAAGGCAAGAACACCGTAGCTTTGTCAAGGACAATGGAACAAGAAATGCTGTATTTATGATCAGAATGAGGAAGCCATACAAATGCAGAAGGAATATATAATTCTGTTTTATAAAAAAAAAAAACAAAACAAAAAAAAACAAAACAAAAAAAACAAAACAAAAAAAACAAAACAAAAAACAAAAACAAAAACATTTGATAGGGTACAGCACAAATATATACATGAACTTTTGAAAAAACTAAATCTATTTCGCAAAGATATTATAATAATCCAGAGCTTATACTGGGGGCAAACGACCTTCATAGAGATCAAAAATTGAGTAGGTACACAAAAAATAGAAAGGGACATAAACAAAGAAACGGGTGCTGGACTGCTATGTCATAGGCGAAATTCCATAGGCGAGAAGTGCGAAGAAAGAAATTATTAGAATAGAAATGATGGTTGCATCTAGCTAGTTCAACAGTGAAACGGTGAGACCTAGCTTCCAATCTAGTAGCAAACTTAAATTCATGCAGTCGAAGCACTAATGAAGAACAGCTCACCAAAACAATTGCCATGAAAATATTTGTAGAAAAGACAGAGGGAAGTCATGTCACATCGTTGAGAAAGTCGAGATGTCAAGTCAGGATCATTACAGACCCTTTGAATTTTATAAAAAATCTTGAAATATATAGTAGGAGCACCAGACCAGATATGCAACAAAAGAGTAACGAGTAATGTATATCTTTCAGTTTCATTTGATTAAGATTGAATAATTAACGATTTATTGTGTGTAAATGAAGTAAAACAAGTATTAAAGATTTTAAATACCAGATTCCAAAACAAATAATTTTTTTTATCGTCGTACATCATCATTTTTGTCAAGTCAGAATAAGTTCCTTATCATCTATATATAGCAGGATTTAAACAAAGAATAGTGCTTCTTCTTTGAATATATCTACAGGACTATAAACATTGAAAGACTATTTGATTTATTGTAATTACGAAAAACGTCTTTCAACTATAAAACTGGCAAAGAGGAAAAATGAATCATATGATTTGAAAACTATGGTAATTCATTTAGTCCGATATTTTTATTTTTATTTCCAATGATTTGTCCCATTTTGCTAAACGTTATATTAAAAAAAAAAAAGGTTATATGCAATTGTAGTTTGATTACAAGAACACGCAACAGAAATACAATTATTCAGACTTACGGCCATATCACGCTGAAACACCGGTTCCCGTACGATCACCAAAGTTAAGTAAAATCGATCCTGGTCAATACATAGATGGGTGACCAATTAGGAATAACAGGTAAAGTAAGCTTTGGATGTGCGAGTGGTGTAATTAATAACGACTCAGAATTGTTAATCGGAGAGCCGAGTTCCAATTTCAGTAGGGGTTCGTTGTATTCACTTACGCATAAATACCCTTAGAAAAGTTATGAATCGGCCACTATTGGTTAATTAGTAAGACTAAATAATTATTATTTCGAAAAAGATTATTGCGATCTAAAATTTTTCTGACTTTAAATAACCTGCAAAAGATTGATAAACTGTAGAAAACGAATCAAACAATCAAAATTATTCTTTTCTCTAATAATCGACGATGATTTTCGTTATAATTAATTACTAACAGTTCATTTGATTTATCAAAACACTGAACATTATATAGATTATATTATTTCAAGAATAGGAATGTTTATGAAGTAGTGTGAATCAAAATATTAAAAAAATGAACGTAACAAAATTTTACGGTTTCAGTTTCCTATTTACAGGAAAAAAAAATATTGTACCAAGCTCTGAGGTTAATCATAGATCTGGGTCGTATATATATGCTCCTGTCTCTTTTGACGGGTATAACACCTTTTTGATTAGAAATATTCCCCAGTGTCAAAATCATTAATAGCATTTGGAAACAACCAAGAATAACAGCTCCCAATCGCCTTTTGATTATAAAAAAAAGAGATTTAAAAGAGAAACAAAATATAAAGGAAAAAGCTAATCTTTCTTTATGCTTAAATGTACAAGCCTAATGCAATATTATTGAATGGAGTTTTTCTGTCGGCATTTCTTATGAAAGTGGTTGTAAAAAGATATGGTAAAATTAGTGTTTCGAGACGATTTTTCGAGTATAAATTAACGCACGCAAAAAAGGCTGTCAATCACTGAATGCAGTAAAAGTCGAATCTTACTTATCTTACTCACCTAATGTATTTTCTTTCTTGAAACTATCTTTTGAATTTCTCAGAAAATGTACATTTGCGTCTTATTTAGAATATGTATTTCTCGAGTAGACTAATTTATCATTTTGTGCGAACCATTTCTGAAAAGATAGATTTAAATAACTGAAGTTAGTGGAATAAGAGGGGAAGAAAGTAAATTTAGATATATAAAAGGAATAGTAAAAAGTGTGGAATAACCAATGCACTAAAAAATAAAACAAATAAAAATCTGAGCCGCAAATGTAATTAATGGATATACTTTTTTCTACAGCATCTGCACCTTGCAATATTTGCTTTGAATTTGACAGGTTAGGTAAAATAGATGCCATCCCTATGGGCGTTATTCATGGCATCTCACTGATGGTTGCTAAAGAAATAACTCGATGTTTCATTCTATTGTGATTTTATTGTATACTTTGTTTTCTTAGGTTATTACCGTATCCATTGAGTTGGGTCATTGGAGCTATTGATCTCTTACTAGGCTTTTTCTAAATCAATAAATTTATCTTCTCCTGTATAGTTTTCCTTTTCTTTTCCATATGTTTGTCTCTTTATTGACTAGTCAGTTATTTAACGCTGGATATCATGTGCTTTTTTATGAAGGAGCATGTCATCTGAGCCGCTTATCGTCTGCCTTCGTAGAATTTGAAAGAAAAATATTGTAAATTTACTATTTCTTCTATGGAGCGTGTTTTCTTTGATAATGATCAAAATCTTTTGACAAAAAAGGAATATTTAATATTGACTTTTCGTTTACTCACTTTAAACATGACTATTCTAAAAGAATTGTTCGTGTAAGGTAAGCCATCCAGATTTATTTTTATTCTCTGTAATTTTGTTGGTGAGAGAGCTGATAAAACGCCAGGAAGCTACTGGCGATATGCATCAGGCCTACAACGCATGCACAGCAGGTAGCAAGAAGATACTACACTTCCGGTCCAGATAGCTTTAACTTAAGTGTATCACTGGTTGAAACAGATAAAATGGCTGACTGCTGTTGATTGTGCACCCGTTTCTCATGTTTAAGTGTTGTGTATGGTCGATCGAATCTATTTGTGACTTCAAAGATACTTCTCTTTAGTCATAGAAGCTCGCACACAAAACCGTGCCTTGCATTGGAGCAGCCCATTTCTATCCAAGAAAACCTGAAATGAATTTTAAACAGACGTCAATGAAAGAATATCGATATTTTATTTACTACTACCAGCGATGTTTTTATTTCAAATTTTAAAGTATGTATAAACTTTATTTTAAAAAAAGTTAGTATTTAGAATAATGTTAGCAAAATAGTATGTCATAGTACGAGATAAAAGTGTCAATTTAAAATGCTAGATATCATATTGATTGTTCATGAATTGACATTATACAAAAGAATAGAGAAGCAATTTTGTGTCAAGGCGTTGGCACAGACATGCATTGAAATACACGTATTATATCTACATAGATGCAATTGTTTTTGCTGGTTTTCATTATAATATTATTGGTTTATAAAATGCATCTTGCAATCTTGCTGTCAAGAATATATTGAAATAATTAAGGATATTTCTTTGATTTTGAGAAAATTATTGCCATTTCTTCAGTTTCTCGCACTTTTATCTAACTAGCTAGAATTGAACATTAATACGTATTCAGTTCTTTCATATGTTCAAATATTTCTTTTTCTTTCCCATTCTCTCTCTTTATGCATGTATGTATGCATGTGTGTATGTATGTACAATGAAAACTATGAGAATTCGATTACAGAAGTTCATGTAAGAAGCAAGTTAAATACAATCCATGTTAATTCAATTATTTCATTTTACCAATGGAATTTTTCTTTTGTTGTGATATTTACTGGCATTCAAAAGTGGAGGTCTGCTTTAGTTGTTGCAAGAACATTTTTCTTCTTTAAGAGATAAAAGATATACGTCGGCCGAACAAACTCGCCTAAAATCTTCATCGTGATTAAGACCCAGAAGTAAGTCGATCGATTGTGGGACACGAACAGCATTCTAGAGTAACCGAACGAGACGTATCGATCTTTCTTTCCAAGCTATTGTACATTGCTAGCTGCCTGATAGCGATGTAAGATAAAAAAATTACCATGATATCTAAACTCAAAAATCGTGAAGCAATGCTAGTTTAAATGGATTACAAAACTTCTAATACACCATTCATTCAATATTTTCAGACTTCTCTGAGGAATGTTGAGTTTTTTTTTTATTGTGAGTGAAACAGTAAAACGATAACAAAAAAGTTTATTGGCATTAAACCAGGGAAGAAATCAATAAAATTTAAAACTTTAGCGCAAGCGACAAATACTATCCAGGATTTTAGAAGTAAGCAGTATGTAAATAATTTACAATTTAAATCGACCCTTGTACTCAAGAAATGCTTTTCTTTGATAAAACTGGATATATATAAACTGATTAGATTAAAACTTACTATTATTTTTAAAATAATAAGAATTAGGTCGAAGATAAAAAAGTAAAATAAATAGATCCGATCTTGATAAAAAGTAAAGTTTTGGTAAAATAAACCAGGTGGTGGTGTCGGGGGGGGGGGTTGGCTAAATAAAGGAATTATAGAAATTCGTGCATTAAGGATTAAAAAAATTATTAAACCATGATCAAGTTTACACTTAGGTTGATAATTGAAGCAATTTATATAAACACGAGACGAGATTGTCCAAGAGCATTTAATTATTTGACGGACACTCAGCATGGATGATATATAAAACGAGACATATTTCAGGCCGGATCTGTGAGTATCTGAAGGATGGCAATATTACTCGATAATATTTAGAAAATGTCAACTTCTTTACTAGCTTCGCAAAAAGAAATGTCACAGAACGTAAAAAAGAAAAAGAGTTGTTTCCTCACTAAATGCGCATTCATTTATCCTAAGATATAAAACTCAAAAGAAGCAATAAATAATCGAAAATAACGTATGTATATATATCTGATATCTTCTTTCGAGTCAGTCGTCTACTAATGAAGTGATTGTCGGTCTCCACGTGGGAGATCGATTGTCAAGCAATCAAGAACAGTTCGGACAGTGGTCTTATAAAAGCATAAATTTAATGAGTACTTCAAGGAAATTACATACCTGATACTGGGACTTTATTTTGAATCTTATTGAAGAGTATTCAATTTCCTAATGATTTTCTGACATTAAATTAAGAAAAGCTGGATTGGAAAAATAACAAATCTAATTATGTAATAACCAAAAGGGAATGGTAATTAATGAAAATATATATGTACAGGCAGTGTCACGGTTATCGTTGATTAAAGTAGATTCAGTGTCGAATTCAAATTCTGACTGAGTATAGTTCGTTCACCTAGTACTAATGTATCTGGAAAAGAAAAAAGAAAGAAAAAAGATTGGACGCTGTAACGTTGACAGGACAACAGCGAGGAGAATACGGACATTAAATTCAAAACCAGGCCAAAGTGGATTGAGTTCTGTCAAGATATATTATCTTTAATACATCCATTTCTACATATAGTGTCCCTTATGACCTTAACGACCATAACAGCACCCATGACATTGGCACGAAAAGTGTATATTTAAAATATGTCCTGACAATTTATCCTTTGCATGTACAGTTTAAATTCTTTGAACATTTGGGTAATGCCTTATGTACGTTTTGTACATATCACAAACCGAAGAGATTGTTGCGCAAAGGGGTGTTGAAAAGTTCCAAATTTTCAACACAATGCTCATATGTACAAATAGATAGATTGAATATTTTCACCCAACATCTAGTTTTTGACAACTGTATTCTGTTTCTAGTTTTGATAGAGGAGAAGTGGTAATTTTTTCACATAATAAAGTAAGCATATATATATATATATATATATATATATATATATATATATATATATATATATATATATGATATATAAATGGAATATATAAATGGACATTTCATGTTAGGACTCAATCCACTCATTTCTTTAACATATGACGCGACATATTCGATACGCGACAGGCTGTTTCAGTTTATAACAGACTCACTATAAGGTCAGGCCGCCTGACGATTGCGATGCTTCGAACATGAACGAATATTTTCTATGAAAATTTCGGACATTCAGGCCGGTAAATTTATTT